CGGCCACTGCCACCATCGTCGCTTATCGCGCTTATAGGTACATATTTTCTCCAATTATGTCATAATGGCTGGTTAACATCATTCTTGTTTACCTAAGAGCATAGTTGTATTTTGTACGCCAATCAATAAATTTATTTAACAGTAGGATTTGATGAAGTATCGACTTCGCTTTTAGGTAACAAGTTAATTTCCTTACGTAAACTTTTTGTTTTTTCTTATCGATCCTTCTGATAACCAGCAAGAATCTAAATTTTATTATATCTAAAGTCAAGCGCTACCTTTAAGTGGATATTAAAAACATTATAATAAAATAAGGTTCATATTATAGTACTTTTTTTACTAATTATTTTTACAGGGGGTTTTGTATATAATACTTACATCCATAGTGACTGTAAATTTGATGTTTTTGATATATAATTTTCAACTTCATCGAGTTACATTACGGTAAAATCAATAGCATTTTATATCTCAAGGATTTTTCTGCGTTCCTGAAGGCAGGATTAAGAATGATTTATAATGTATGCGATTACATAAATGTCTTACTACAACATACTAGCTTTCGCCGTTGACTCCGTCTGCGTGGAATTAAAAAAATAAAAATAAAAGTGAGTAGCCTATCTGTTATTCCAGGATATCCTTTACATCTCTGTCGAATTTCACCGAAATCCGTTAAGCCGATTAAGCTACAAACTATAACAAACATCCATCCATCCATCTAAACTTTCGATAAACAATATTAGTAAGTATTTTATATAATTCAAAAATGATATATTCATGTATCTGTGAGCTACAAAATGCCACATAATATAATATATATTATATATAATAATATGATATTGAGAAATATATCTTTTTTAGCTTTTGCAATTGCTCTACCTAACAAACATACAACAGCTTTTGTTAAACTTCTTAAAGGCCTCGTCTTTTAAATTGCTTTTATTTTCTTAAACCATTGCCACTTCTGCTATGCTATATAGATATAGTAAAGTGAGACCCGGGGGGTGCATCGTCAATTATTATGAACAGCGCAGCACTAAAACGGGACGCGGGTAAATAAAAGCACACGTGTGTAATACTGATTTTTTTATCTATGCTGAAGATCGTGCATTACTTACCCTGCCCCACTTGACCTCGATCATCAGTTTTGCTTTGTTTGTTGATACGCTAACATTATACCAATAAAATGGTTTCTAGAGGTTTTTTTGGCGATTGAAAATCTTCCTTAATGGTACTTATTTATCCTTATTATCATGTTTAACGGCTCTAACATATTAAAGGACTTGGACTCTTTTTTTTTTAATGATCACTTGATGTTTCCTTTTAGCGAAGAAACACGGTCGTGCTGTTTTGATACTATAATATGAATTATATGCATAGAAAAAATATTTTTGTTAAAATTTTACCGTCACAAGTCTTATTTGTTCACACGTATCTCGTAACTTTACTTCTATTTATGTTGTGCTATGTTGAATAAAGTCTTTATCTTTGTTTTGAAAAAAATAATCGTAATAAAATGTTTTCCATCAAACGAAAAGTTTATGTGACAAAAATCTTGATATCTTATTGGAATCAACAAATCATCCAAAATCATCTAATAAATTAAAATTGGCGTTGTAACTACATACACATAACGTTCAGATTCAAGTACATCTCATTATGAGTACAAAGTAAAACAATTGTACAATAAAGGCATAACAGATACAAGACGGGAGTTTTCTGTCTAAGTATTTCAGGACATTACTCTGTTTCTTATTAGTGTATTTTGTTTAAGAATGGTCGGTTTTTTGTTTGAAGTCGATTTTATTTTTATAATAATATAAATATCTTCACCTGAAAAGCTACTACTGATATAATAGAATAAATATCGGACGGAAGAAAGACCAAATCAATTATACTTACATATCCTTTGCCACCGGACGAAGCCGCGGCAGATCACTGGTCAATAATAAATCAATGTCCTCTTAAAAGAATTATTTTTCCTGGAAAACATTTCGTCAGTCTAGGTTAATATATCACCGAACTGACAGACGAACCGCATAACTCTTAAGGATTGTATCAATACCTATCTTTGTAATCTGTATTCTGTTTTAGATTATGTTCTTCAGCACTGAAGTAGTGTATTTATTTAATTTTAAGTTATAAGCTACAAGTAGATATAACTAATGTAAATATTGCAGCATCAAAAGCCGAGATGCAGGCGCGCAGTGCGCTGATGGCGCTGGCGGCATTGGGCGCGCTGGCGGCGGCGAGCGCAGAGCGCGCGGGCGGCATCAAGGTGGGCGGCGCGGCGGGCGCGACGGGAGCGGGCGCCGGCGCTGGTGGCGCTCGGGACGGAGGGCGTGGCGGCGGGGTGCGGCTAGGGGGCGACGGGCTGCGGCGCGCGCGCACCTCGCCTGCGCCCGCCGCGCCCCGCACCCCCTCAGTCATCACCGCCGCGCTCGTGGTGCCGCACAAGGCCTTCGGCGCGCGAGACTACACGCGCGCAGAGAAAGCGGCCCTAGCGAAACTGCCGCGGAAACTACAGAAACTCTTCTCGCATGTGCGCCTCAACATTACGCTTTCTATGCAAGGCCTCACACCCAGTCCTATGTGTAAGTATTGGATTGATTACAAGTAGTCACAAGCAAAAGTAATGGGATCTAACATTTAATCATTACCTTCATCATCATTGGCATGTCTTGGATCGTACACTGACCATGCTAGCAAACGTTGACAATGTCTGCCAACGCTTACATAAACATTGCTGTCTTCAGTTAGGAATTTGAAATCGATCATGTCTTCTTTCTCTAGATCTTTACATTTGTGCCTGAACTGTTAGTTTGTCAAAATTTTTGTTTGCATTAATAACCAAGAATTGTTTTAATCACGTTTAACTGCTTTCAGCTATCTTGGACTCGCTATGTAAAGAATTTTTAGCAGTCAACGTGTCTGCTATCCTTTATCTTATGAATCATGAACAATACGGGCGCTCTACTGCCTCTGCACAATATTTTCTACAACTTGCCGGATATCTTGGCATACCGGTAATGCTTACTTACTTCTTAGCTTTTTCGTACTCTTGAACATATTGCTCTCATAAGATTAAAAATACTACTTTTGTTTTGCTTTGAATCGGCGCAGGTTATCGCATGGAATGCGGACAACAGCGGGCTCGAGAAGCGAGCCGCGCACGCCTCGTTACGACTTCAGCTGGCCCCGTCCATAGAACACCAAACCGCCGCCATGTTGTCGATATTAGAGAGATACAAGTGGCATCAGTTCAGTGTCGTCACATCTGCCATTGCTGGCCACGACGACTTTATACAAGCCGTCAGAGAAAGAGTCACCGCTCTACAAGTACATACACACGCTCTCATGACTATTTTAATTTATTGTCCTACTGTGTGCGACGACTTCTATGAGGGGCGATCGTTTGATACTTTTGTTTATTTATCATTTATATTTATAGTATGACCAGTACGAAAATGATAACATATTCTTGCGAATTTGATTCGTCCATTAATTTCCTTGGCCTTATCACAGTTGCGTAGGGTCGCTGTAAAAAAAGCTAGTTAACAATAAAAACGAGTAATAAAACAGAATAAGTCCTTAGAACAAAACTTCAAGCCAACTACTACTAAAACTGCTTTTATAATATGCCATTTTGATTGTATGAACTAAAAAAGAGTTTTACAACAAAATAATCCTTATAGTGGTGTAATTTTGGTATCCTAGTTGTAAAATCAATAATAATAGGTTACCCTCAAAACAGTGACATGACAATATAAACCATCCCTATATCCTCCGCCTTTCTCTGAGCCATCGAACGCAAAGCGACAGAAATGAAAAAAAGTATAGAATATCTTTAAAATTAATTTCAATTCCTGTGTCTTTTTAATTAATAGTAATTTTAAGATTAATTGTTGTTGCATTTATTGACTAACGTCGTCTCTTTTTCCCGCAGGACCGTTTCAAGTTCACTATACTAAATGCGATTGTGGTGAAGAGAGGATCAGATTTGAATGAGTTAGTGACGAGTGAGGCGCGGGTTATGTTGTTGTACGCAACGAGAGAGGAAGCCGCTGATATTTTATCAACGGCCAGAGATTTACACCTGACAGGAGAAAACTTCGTATGGATTGTAACACAGAGTGTGCTCGGTTCTATGCAACAACCCAACAAGTTTCCAGTTGGAGTGCTTGGTATGTTATTCGTTGCATCATTTTTAGTTTTGTACTTTATGTCATTGTATATTTACTTGAACACGTTATTATATCAACCGACTCTATAAATGTGTATCTTGTTATTAGGTGTGCA